CCTGGTCAGAGCACTGTCCCCGGTGTCCCTGGTCAAAGCACTGTCCCCGGTGTCCCTGGTCAGAGCACTGTCCCCGTTGTTCCTGGTGCTTCGACAAGTGTTGTTCCTGGCGTTCCTGGCGAGACAACCGTCCCTGGAGCTTCAACCAGTGTTGTCCCTGGTGTCCCTGGTGAGACTACTGTTCCTGGAGCCTCTACGAGCGTCGTCCCTGGCGTCCCTGGTGAGACCACCGTTCCTGGTGCTTCGAGCGTTGTACCTGGTGCACCCGGCGAGACTTCCGTGCCCGGTACCTCTCCGGCTGCTCCTGGAGAAACTTCGCCCTCTGGTGTCTCTCCCGTCGCTCCCGGCGAGACCGCTCCCTCTGGCGTTTCCCCCGTTACTCCTGGCGAGACCGCTCCTTCTGGCGTGTCCCCCGTCACCCCGGGAGAAACCGCTCCCTCTGGCGTGTCTCCAGTCACCCCTGGCGAGACTGCTCCTTCTGGCGTTTCTCCAGTTACTCCTGGAGAGACTGCTCCTTCCGGAGTTTCCCCAGTCACTCCTGGCGAGACTGCTCCTTCCGGCGTTTCCCCAGTCACTCCTGGAGAGACTGCTCCTTCTGGCGTTTCCCCCGTTACTCCTGGCGAGACCGCTCCCTCTGGCGTTTCCCCCGTTACTCCTGGCGAGACCGCTCCCTCTGGCGTGTCTCCCGTCACCCCCGGAGAAACCGCTCCCTCTGGCGTCTCGCCCGTCACCCCCGGAGAAACCGCTCCCTCTGGCGTCTCGCCCGTCTCCCCTGGAGAGACTGCTCCCTCTGGAGTGTCTCCCGTCACTCCTGGAGAAACTGCTGGTCCCTCTGGTGTCTCTCCCGTTACACCTGGCGAGACCAGTGCGGGCGCGACGGGCGTCTCCCCAGCCTTCACTGGCGCCGCCTCCTCCAACATGCAACCCGCGGCTGGCTTCCTGGCCGCCGTCATGGGTATCATGGCTCTCCTCTAAATTGGCTCAGTCCGGTGTGTGTGATCTGACGATCAAGCTACGATTGTTCGCGATCACCCAACTAAGATAACTCATATTATCTCCGGTGTTACGGTACGGTCCCATTTAGAAAAATTTTGCTTTCTTGTTTGTTGTCCATTACTTTCTTGATCTCGTTCGTGATTTCCTCCTTGGCTCCTTGCTTGTTAAGTTCCTACGCATACCAGTGCCAATGTGTATATCCTACACGGGTCTGGAATGTTCCCAAGGGCTTTAGTTGGAAGTCATGTATTGGCTTTTGTGTCCGATAATGCTCTAATACATAATAATGCATAATTTGTACGTGTGGGCAAATTCCAGAGATAAAAGTAGACATCCATGTTCGTATTGCTCAGTGGTCATGGGATTGGGGGTCGTATCAGTCTCGTGAGGGCATTTTACCAATAATAGTAACAGTAACCACCACGAGTCGTCAATGCAGTCAATGACACCTAGATAGGTAGTCATGTGTCGTGATCCTCGCATTTCCCTTCCCTCCTTCACTTCCGGGATCACGTCAATCGCCAAGCGGAAAGTAATTTGCAACATAGAACGTCCCAATTACCTGAAGGGTGTGAGCGATTGACGTCTTGTACTGTACTAAAAATAGGAATCTCCACTCTGTCTTTGCTTTTAATGATTTCTACAATACGAATGAGCAACCAATACAAACATCTCGTGAAACGTCTATCTTAGTTGTATGGTATGAGATAATCTGATCTATGGGAGGCAGAAGAGGAAGCCAAAGATGCAAGGCATGTAGGCACGAGAGAAGTATAAAAAGAAACATGAAGATCGTGAGATATCATCGACATAGCTTGGCTTTTTTGTGAAACGAACATTGAAGAAGGGAGAGGATAACTAGTTGCGGCACGCAGATTAAGGGATTACGTGCCTACCGCTTACCCTCCAACTCCTGCTCGACCTCAGCCTTGACGATCTCGCGCACCTGCTGCCAGCCAGCACCGGGGCCGACGGCAGTGACGCGGCTTTCGCGGTCCTCCAGGCCGATAAACTCCTGGGGCAGGACCTCAGTGAAGTCGTAGCCGTCCTGGCCGCGGAGGGCGAGGTCGACGGCGCTGGCGAACTTGGCCGGGTGGGCCGTGGACAGGGAGATGTGGCTGACGCCAGAGTTACGCTCGATGGAGCGCAGGGATGCGGCGACACCAATGGCGGAGTGAGGGTCCAGGATGTAACCGCCCGTCTTGGAGCTCTTGGCGCTGCCGGGGCCCAGGTTGGACGGGAAGCAGGACTGGTAGGTGGAGCGGATCTGAGCGATGGTCTCGTCGTTGCTGACGCGCTCGCTCTCAAATTCAGCCTGGGCGGCCTCGAAGAGGGCAGGGGGGACGCTGAAGCCGCCCTCGGTCTTGAGCTGGTTGAGCCAGTTGCTGACGTTCTCGCAAGCCTGCTTGCGACGCTCGTCGGCCGTGCTGGCCTCGCTGGTCTGGTAGGCCAAGAACCACAGGAGACGCTCGAAGTTGCTGCTGACCAGGATGTCCATGGCAGGGCTGTGGGTTTCCTTGACGCCGGCACCCTTGCTGTCGCTCTTGCTGTAGGTACCGCCGGTGCGGAAGAAACGGTCCAAGATGTCGTTCTCGTTGGTGGCGATGACCAGCTTTTCGGCCGGGAGACCCATGCGCTTGGCGAACCAACCGGCCAGGATGTCACCGAAGTTGCCGGATGGGACGACAAATCTCATCTTGTTGTTGTAGCCGGGGGTCTTGGTCAGGGCGAGGTAGGAGTAGAAGTAGTAGGTGATCTGGGCCAGGATACGGGCAAAGTTGATGCTGTTGATGGCGGCGAGGTTGTGGGTGGAGTTCATGTCGGGGTCGGCAAACAGGGCCTTGACGAAGTCCTGGCAGTCATCAAAGGTACCCTCGACGGTGAGGTTGTGAACGTTGGCATCGAGGATGGTAGTCATCTGAGCCTGTTGGATGGGTGAAACCTTGCCCTTGGGGAACAGGATGAAGACGGAGACATCCTTCTTGCCACGGAGGCCGTAGATGGCAGCAGAGCCAGTGTCACCGCTTGTCGCACCAACAACGGTCAGGTGGTGTCTGTCCTTGCCCTCCTTGCCCTGGTTCTTGCGCACCAGGAAGTATTCGAACAGGTTTCCGAGACTTGAGTGAGATTGACATTAGCACCATATATACTTCCTCACACTTATGCACAGTTTCCAGTAGACCTACTTTTGCAGCGCGACATCCTTGAAAGCGAAGGTCGGGCCGTGGAAGAGTTCGAGGAGGTAGAGGTTGCGCTTGCCGTCGAGTTCAACGATGGGGGTGCGTTCAGGGTGGCGGAAGGTGGCATAGGAGCGCTTGATGATATCTTTGAGATCTTCACTGGGAATTTCGGACTCGGAGATGTAGAGAGACATGATACGGAAGGCCAATTCCTCGAAGCTCAGGTCGCGCCATTCCGACTCCCAACCGGCGGGGAGGGTAGGGATTTCCTCGGGGATGAAGAGACCACCATCGGAAGCGAGACCCTTGAGAACGACCTCCTCGAAGGAAAGCTA